TAGCATCATGTATCTCTGTGATTTTATTTTTTCTTGCTCTCCAAACCGCCTTACTCTGGAAGAACTTCGTGTTTCTATCACCTTCTTTCAACCAAGTGATCCTCGATCGTTGTAACCAAATCATCTCCTCCTTGTACAGTAATTCATTGAGTTTATCCGAAACCTCTCGGATTTCTGCACTATCTGCATTCATATTCATTAGTTCCTCTAGCCGGGTTCTTGTTTTATTAATGTCCCTTGTGATATTACCGAACTTTTTACTGCTCCACTTCCAAAGGGACACCATAGTCTCTCTCAAAACTTTATTGACATGGCCTAGATCATCCATCGCACCATAGGCCTCCCAAGCCTTGCAGACTAATTCTGGTAACCCGGTGTCTCTTTTCCAAAATATCTCATACCTGCGTGGATGCACTTTACGTTGTTCCTGGTCCGAGGCACCCTTGAGCAATAATGACACGTGATCAGAACATGGAGATGCAAGGTGCCGCACACTGTAAAAAGCGAACAAGTTCCGCCAAGAATTTGTAGCCACCGCTCGATCTAAACGGACGCGCACATTTGTTGCACCAGACCTCATATTGTCGTAGGTATAGGGCACACCTGAAAAACCCAGGTCCACTAAATCACAAAGCATCAAAGTATCCCGGAAAGCACACCTTGCCATAGACAAATGCCGAGGCCTGGGCCGACCAATGTCAAACAGTCTACCGCACACGCCTGGGACAGGCAGTTCTGACTCTGTCGATGAGCATTGCAGGAGAAAAGGCGTTGAGCCAGCCATAGTTTAAAAAATCAGATCAGATCGGCGGTCCAACCGTAAAAAACCGTAACCAGCCACCCTATCGGTCTTTTAAGCCAAAAAGACTGTTCGTGCAATGGACCAGAGAAAACCGATTAACCGTGCTAAAGTGCTTGTTTTTTTTATTAAAACCGGACTAGAAAACTAGCGAATGTATAGCAGATCCAGAAAAATAGGGTGCACACATCAGGATTAAATCATTGGTCGCTCGGATAAGAGGTCAAAGCATAAATGCAGCCCAATATCCAACACAGTCAAGACCACGTTCACGCCAAATTGAAGGGACACAACTCCTTTGAACTGTTTTTCCTATAAAATATTTTATTTTACGCCATAAAAACTACCAGAAAAAACTCATCGGTTCAGTTGCCGGTTCGGTTTTTTTAATTATGAAGTCAGCGCCAGAACCAACAACTGTCTCGTGTCATCATCACTGCAAGTCTCCTCCTCTATAACTCCGACTTCAGAAAGACAAGCGAGTCACGATGACCCCTCAAACACGCTGGATAAGACCGACTACCAGAACACAACTGCAAACGACCCCTCAAACATGCTGGATAAGACCGACTACCAGAACACAGCCGCAAACCCGACTCCGCTTGAAGCCGCCATCATTACACACAAGAAAGCCACGCAAAATCATCCACATCGCCGGACGGACACCTGCCGACCACACAACCGGGTGCCGGATTCTTTGTACTATCATTAAAACATTAATTAAAAAAAAGCCGCCCCTGCAAGGACGACGGGCTTCCATGGGTTAGTTTCCGTAATAGATCAAGTGAGCCGGTGTTTTGTATCATAGAGATAGTAATTACCTTGTCGAGGTTTATACCAAGAGGATTACAGCACAATAGGCTGTTGCTTTATACCGTGCTTGCCGCACGGTGGAACTGGCTCCCGGGCGTCAGCTTTTATGCTGTGAGGTGCTACCCAAAGTTGGCGATGTGGTACTAAACATGGACACGACAGACATCGATCACGGCCTCACGGTGAAACGGCGATACGGACTAACGGAGGCACAAGCACGTAGGAGTATGGGCTAGTTTGGTTTTGCATCCACGGCGAGAGCGGCCTCGCCGTCGCGTGCAGCTGGCAAACGGCCAGAGCACGTGCCGGACGTGCCTATTCTACGCTGGCCGGCCTCCCGGGTGCCGGAGCCCGTTGCTTCTGCCCTGCTCGCCGGCGCACCGGCCGCCGGGCGCCGCTAGTGTGGAGCTTCTTTGGATTCTTGAACGATAGTGGGCTGGGTGTTAAAAAAAAACCTATTTATTCTCCATGGGCAAAATTACCCCCGGTCAAGACTCAAGACAAGCACACTGGAGAAAGGAGAAGGTAACACCTAGGACAACAAACAAGACGATGGGATCAACTACGCGTTGGGAGCAAACGTACAAGCACGTCAGAGAACCATCGTCGCGTAGTCGGGCCAGTGGTCACGCCGCCGTTTTTGTACTCCAAGTGGCCAAGTGTGAAACTTCCAAGTGGCGCTATGCACAAAAACAAGTTGCTTCTACGCGCCAAAATTCATGAACGTGTGGAAATACACGCTTGATCCCCAGGCGGACACGCCAAATACAACGTGTGGCTCATAGCAAAAAATAATTAATAAAAAAAGCAGGGGCCAGCCACTTTCCTGTATTATGTTCTTCATTCAATTCGCACGGTATCTGATAATAGCATGCACAAATCCGAGTAGGGCGTTTCGGTGCCCGGGCTAATCTGTATCCGGTTAGAAAGAATTTCGTAAAAAATACAAAACAAATTCAAAAAATTCCAAGTTTTTTTTTGTGTGGGAGAAAATTTGATGCGTGATGCCTGCTCCAAATTTCAAGTCATTTGGACATCTGAAGAGCTTTCAGCAAAAAAGACAAAACGGGCCAAAACAGTACATGAACAGTAAATATTTTTACCGACCCCCAATTTGTCTTTTTTGCTGAGATCTCCTCAAATTTTCAAATGATGTGAAAATTGAAGAGGACCTCACGCATCAAATTTTCTATCGCACAAAAAAAATGGAATTTTTTGAATTTTCCTAGTATTTGTTTTATTTTTTTTTATCAGTACGGGTGCAGATGAGCTCAGGTGCAGAGATGCATTTTCGGCACAAATCCTGGGATCCTGCTCATGGCAACAGGAAAACAGAGGTGTCACTGATATGTAGGGTGTCAGCCACTTGCCATATTTTTTTCTCAATCAGAGAGGAAAAATCATTGACCACCTGTACACTGCTCAATGATAGAGTGCAGCATCTAAAATAATAATAATGATAGTACATTGTAGCTAACATCACTACATCAGCACATCATTATCATCTACTACTACAAAATAATAATGGCACAGTGTTCCCAAAAAAATGTGATTCCAAACGCTAATTATTCAACTAATAAAGTATTCAGAGCATCTCCAATAGACGCCCAAAATTAATCTCTCGCGCCCGTACCCAGCTCGCCAGAATGGTCATGGCCACGCGCCGCCCCCCTGGCCTGCTCGCCGCCGTGGGCATGCCCTACAGCCGCCGTGGCCGTGGCCCACTGCCGCCATGGCCGTGGTCGTGCTCCTCCCCAGGTAGCCCTGCCGTGGCCGTGGCCTGCTCGCCCTGCCGCCGCCGTGGCCGCGCCCCGCCGCCCGTGGCCACGGCCTGCACCGCGTCCGCGCCCCGCCCCGCC